TTCTGAGATCCCCATGAAGGAACCCTTCCTGCTCCAGCCGGCAGGGCTTGCTTCTTGATTTCTGTTGGGACACACAGGAAAACAAAGCCACATTGCTTAGATGTGAGGCTTAGTGACTTTACAGCATCACGCCCTAGACCCGCCCACTCAAGGCCAAGCTCAGGAACCTTCTCATCAGTGGGTGGAAACCCTTGGAAACAGCAAGTGGTCGCCTTCAGTGTATAGATATGGCCTGCCTCCTGGCGGAACCTGACATACAAATGTCCTCAACTTACCACGGGGTTCTCACCTTGTGACCCTTGGTCAATCGAAAATAAATGACGCTAAGTTGAGCACGCACTTGACGCACGTGACCAGGTGGGCAGCACAGCCCCCTCGTGTTGGCTGTGACCATGGGTGTGGCTGACTCGCCTCCATAGCCCACTGCCTCTACCAGCACATGTCACCAGCCCAGCAAAGGGACAAAACTCAGAATTCCCATGACTTTCCCCCGTCGGGAATTCGACAGCCCCAACTCTAGCCATCTGAAGTTGGAAGCCGTCTGAAAACAGAGCCACTGGGTGTTTGCTTTGTCTCCTGCTCTGTCCTCGTGGCGTGTGCCAGGGCCACCTGACCACTGCAGGTGGCACGACTATTCCTCCAAGTGAATAGTCCGTCTCGGAGTTGGCGGTGTCCAGGTGGATGAGCATTCAGTGGCACTTTCTCCCGTTCTTAGTGAAGCGGTCGCCAACCTTTCTGTGGCCGCCTTTGGATGGACGCCGCCTCTCCTTTCTTTCTCCTTTCTCCCTGGCGTATGCCCAAGAGAGGGGTGGCGAGGCCATGGGTCGGCATGGGTCTAGCCGTGGGAAATACCCCCGGGGTATTCTGTCCAGAGGCGGCACAGTTCACCCCCGCAGTCCAGAGGTCGGTCCCGAGTCTCCTGAGGCCCCACAGGTGTCACCAGGCATAAGAGAGGCTGACACTGGAACCCCAAGGCTGCAGGCGGTGGGCAGGGGGCTGGGAAACAGGCCACCATCACGTTGGTCCCTGTGGCCTGGTCTCTGTCACAGTCCCCACAACAGGCCACCCGGGCTCTTGGAGGGTTAGTGGGACAGCCCCACCATCAAGACCTGGGTGGCCTGCCTCACTGCCCAGGGGAGCTGATGAAGGATGGCCAGCGATGGGGTCAGAGGGAGAGAGCGGGCGAGCACGTCCCACAGTGCAGGTTCTTTCCTGCCTGTGAGAGACCAATCTGAAGCTGGCTCAGGTGGCAAAAACGCAAAGCTTCTGGTGGCACCGTGGTGTCATGCAGAGGGCTCCTTGGGACCTGTTTCTGCTCTGGTAGGACCACAGACAAACAACTGTCTGCCTTGCTCTCCTCCTAGAGCCCTTGACGGTTCAAATGGTGCTGTGCTGTCACGATTTGGATCTGAGGGTCCCCTAGGAGCCCCTGTGAACGGGCAATGTTCAGAGTTGAAATGATCAGATAACGAGAGCCGTAACCTGACCAGTCATCAACCCAGGGGAAAGGACACTGTGCTGGGAGGTACGTCTCGGTGACTGAGTGTGGCTGGAAGAAGTGGGTCACCGGAGGCCCCCCAGGATGGGCACCTCTTCTCTGCTTCCTGGCCCCCAGTGGAGTAGGTTCTCCACCACACCCTTCCGCCATGATGTTCTGCCTCACTTTGGCCCCAGAGAATGGAGTCGGCCAGCCACGGACTGAACCTCTAAAATTGTGAGCCCCCAAATTTTGGTCACAGTGTTGCAATGACGATGAACGCGTTTGCCATAAAGAAGAGTGTGTGGTGAAGAGACGAGTGTTTCTCCAAGGTTGTCCCTGGGTGCCCTGTTGTTGGTCATAAGGGTTGGGGTCAGGGAAAGCACATGAGCTAGGAGTCAGAACCACCTCAGTCCCCTGCCACAGCGTGGTCTGGGTCACCCGATTCAGCTCTGTCTTCAGTGTCCCCATGTGTGAAATCATGTCTCGGAGCAGCTCATCGGATGGCATTCCACTGAGCTAGCCTGTGTGCGAGTGGCATGTGACCTCCCATCGTCCCCATTCGTTCTGAGATGCTTTCAGAGATGACCATGTCAGCTGACTTATGGAGGGCCAGGAACTGTCTAAGCCCTCCACCTGTATTCTATCTCACGAGGACACACCGTTGTGATTCCCACTTGACTGGAGAAGTTAAATAGTAATGGAGGCGACACCCTGCCCGGGCAGACGATTTCCCAGCCAGGTTGTGAAGGCTGCCGTGGGAGGTCTGACTCAGTGCCTGCACCGTATGGAAGGAAGGGACAGACCTCCTCGTCATTGATCAGCCGTGTGTCCCCAGGTGGGGGTCTGCCAGGTCTCTGCTTCTCCAACATTATCGTGGGGATAGAATTTTCTGGCGTGCAGGGATAACATGTAGGACTAACCTGGTGGCCAGGCTGCCCCTCGGTACCTGCAAGTTCCGCTGTGTCCATTGCGATGTGCGTCACGCAAAAAAGAAGACTTGGGAATGACCCAGCCTCCCACCTGCCTGGGCAAGAGACCGTCCTTGGAGTCGAGCGGAGCAGGGGCTGAGGCACAGGGTCAGAGGACCAGTGTCAGACGACCACGTGGAAAGAAAGCGAGAGCGCTGGACTTTCACTTTTTATTAAATGCCCACACCTTCCCTCCCCATCATAAAAGTAATAACTGCTCATCTTAGGAAATTGGAAAATATAGATTAAAAAAAAAAAAGAGAGAGACACCAAAGGACCGGACAGTCTTGACCTTCAGATACAACGGCTGTTGGTGTTTTGTCGTATTTCCTTCCAGCAGGCTGGATTTGTTTTTTTAAGTAGATGAGCTCATCTAGATTGTAAAGTTTCATATTTTGCCTTTTCTTACTAAAATAATATGACACAGCATTTCCCGGGATAATGGCCGTCCTTGGTAATCATCATTACGTGCCTCGTAATGTTTCATTATATCTCTGATGATTGACTTACGCCCATAACGCTTCTAAATGTCTCCCTCTTCTAAAAACGCTAAGACGGCCGCAATTTTATGCATAAAAACTTCTCGGAGTTTCTAGCCATTACTCTGAGGCACGGACGATCTTAAAGGCTCCTGACGTCCAGTGGCCAGCTTGCTTTCCAGAGCCGTTCACCCACGCTGTCCTCGCACACAGGATGGGCTCTTTGCAGGACACCACGGCTCACGATGAGGATTATGAGCTTTCACGTCCTCGTTAATGGCCACCGGATTATTTAAATGTATGGTCCTGTACCCAAAATGTTGTTGAATATTTATATCATCTCATGGTTTGAATTTTTCCGTTTTTTTTAAATTTCTCAGTTGCATTGTGACATATATCAAAAGTGTCAAAAGTGTGTCTCTGTGCCATTTACATAATAATACAGTAAACGCTGACTTCACCACCACTCAGCGTATGAAGTGGAACTTTTCATGCCTGTGGAGTCTCCTGGATGTGACTTCTGACTATTCCCCTCTCCCCTCCTGTGGCTGCCATGATTCTCATGGTTTGGGTCCTTATTTCTTTGATTCTCCTTATAGTTCTACCACACTCTTGTGTTCCTTTTTGGGGGGGAGGGGGGTACTGGGGATGTAATTCAGGGATACTCGACCACAAAGGCACATCCCCAGCCTATTTTGTATTTTATTTAGAGACAAGGTCTCACTGAGTTGCTTAGGCCTCTCTGTTGCTGAGGCTGGCTTTGAACTTGCGATCCTCCTGCCTCAGCCTCCAGAGCCACTGGGATGACAGGCGTGCGCCACCGTGCCCAGCTCGTGTATTCCTAAGTAACGGAGTTTGCCTTGCCTGTCTTTGACCTTGATATAAACAGAATAGCATTAGAAATATTCTTCTGTTGCTTACCTCCCCCAAATTATGGTTGAGGAGCTTCCATGTCAGTGTGTGCTCGAAATCCCCCATTTTCCTCTGGAAGAGCCTCTGGTTGTGTGCACGTGCTGAGGGTGTGGTGAGCTCCCGCTTTCCTCCATAATCTGTTCTGCTTTAAGCTCATTTTAATGAGTATTATAAATACAGCTTCCAGATTATGTTGGTTCCTCATCATCTCTTCGGCCATTAGGAATTATTTTTATTCCAATATGTGAATGAATTTTTTCTTTCGTAACTCTCTTCTTCTATTTCTAAAAAATTCTGTCACCCTTAAATAATAACTTTTCACGTGTTCTTCTGTTTTGTCATTTCCGTGTTCTGCCTTAGAATATATGTATGTGTGTGTGTGTTTAATCCTACACAACCTGGGGTTTGTTTCATAAAGTGCAGTGAAAACGTTTGGTTTTGCTCAATTGCTAACCAATTGCTTCGTGCGTCATCAGTGAATACACCCCCTTTGCCATGCATCATCAGGCCCTGCATCTGTCCTCAGACCTGGATCTCAGCCCCATACCTGTGCTGAAGGCAGCAGCCTGAAAACTACATTTCCCAGAGCTCCCTGGGAGTTGGATTCAGCCAATGGAGGAAGGCTCATGGGGTTCCCAGATGGGAAAAGTATGGAAGCTGCTTTTCTGTCCCTGCAAAGGCTCAGGAGGAAGACAGACTCCTGGACTCTGGACAATACCACGTCCTTGTTGTGATTCCTCAGCTCTGGAGGACGTGGTGGCTCTCTACAGGTGTGACCCCTGGGCAACTCTCTCCCTGCTCCTCTGGTGTGTCTGTGCATTACAGTCAGTCCCCTGGATTGAAGTCCCTCTGTTGAAACCCCTGATGTGGTTCCTGTTTCCAGTGTAGACAGTGATTGATGGGCCTTCCTCTCCTACCGATCTGTGGTGCCAAGCCTACTGTGTACAGCAGGAAAGGCAGAGGGGGAGAGAGACGATGTAGTGTGTCCTTGGCTTTAGAGCTGTCTGTTTTGATTGACTGACCTTTTGACCCATCCTCACGTATAATCATCATTGTGATTATTGAGGCTGAGCCTGCAGCAGTATCTGACGGTGCAGCTCTTCCCTCATTCCTCTTTTCTCCTATGGTCTTTGCTGTTACCATCCACTTATCATGCTGGTATTTTGAGGGAGAAAAAGTCTTTAGAGGGAGAATGGGTTGGTCTCTGTCTTACAAGCTTTTAAATTGTTTAAAAATATTCATGTTACAGTTAATACATAATAGTGGGGTTCATTTTCGCCTAGTCATGCATGTATATAATTTGCTCCATGTCAATCCCCAGTACCCCCACCTCCCCTATGTTCCCTCTCCCAGCCCCTCTACTGCTTTATACACGCGCAGAGCATAATCTGGTCGATTCTATTCCACAGGATCCTCCTTTCCCCATCCCTCTCCCTCCCCATCCGTCCTTTTTCCTCTGCTCCACTGTTTTCTCTCTATTTTCATGGAATCACCTTTTTTCTTTAATTCCTTATTTCTCTTTAGCTCCTGCATATGTAAGGGAAAAAATCCTGCCCTCCACATCCCGAGCCTGGTTTATTTCACTTAGCGTGAGGTTCTCCCTTCCGTCCATTCACCAGCACATGACAGAATTTCCTTCTTCATGGCTGAGCAAGACCCCGTCGTTGTATACACCACATTTTCTGTATCCATTCAGCTGTTGATGGGCACCTGGGCTGGTTCCGTAACTTGGCTATAGTGGATTGTGGTGCTGTAAACATTGGTATCCATGTACCCAATCAGTAAATGGATTAAACAGACGTTTCTCAAAGGAAGAAATACAAATGTTCAACAAATAGATGAAAAAAAAATGTTCAACATCCTTAGCCATCCGGGAAATGCAAATCAAAACTATGTGAGATTTCATCTCACTCCAGTTAAAATGTCAAGAATACAAATAATAATTGCTGGCGAGGGTGTGGGAAAAGGTACCCTCAGACATTGTTGGCTGCACTGTCAATCACAACGACCTCTCTGGAAATCAGTATGGAGGCTCCTCAAAAGACTGGGCAGGGAACCCCGTCTGACCCACCAGCCTGCTCCTGGTATTTATCCCAGAGAACTGAGGGCAGCCTCCTGTCGTCGTGCAAGCTTTTATGTGTGTCTTGCAGCCGAGTCCTGCTCGGGAGAAATTGGTATTGCTTCCCTGGGGAGACTCACGGAAACGGTCACCCACCACGCCTGCCACTCACATGGGCATAGCCGGCAGTTGTGTCTGGGTGCACAGGTGACAAATTATGGTCCATTCAGACTGCTCTCCCACCCTGGAGTCGCCCTGTTTGGAGCAGAGGCTGCAGAACTGGAATCTCTCCCAGTGAAAGGGGATCTCGTTTCTTTCAAGTCCGCACCACTAACCATGCCCAAGGTCAGATGAGCCTTTCCAGCAACACCTTGCAATTTCTCCATAATCCAATTTGGGCTCATCGGCTGAAATAGCTGTGGGGAAATGATCAGATCATTATTTTAAACACCGGGGCCATCATGTCAGGAGGACTTCTGAAACACACACCGTCTCTGCTTTGGTAACTACAGAAAGGGGGAGAATTGGAGAATTGGGGAAGGCACCTCGTGATTCTTTATATACTTGTTTTTTTGGTAAGAAAAGAGTCTCCTAATGTCTGAAAACGCCCCTGTGCTCCCTGCACGGCGCTCTGCCTGCCCTGTGTGCAGCCTGCTGCGGAGGACAGAGGCCGCCTCGGTTTGGAAGTCCAGCCCTGGGGGAGCCTCTGGCCCTTTCCCGTGCACTTGGCTTTGTGTGTCCAACTGTTTGGGAACATGAAAGCTCTCTCCTGACCTCGGGCTCGGTGCCCTGGGGAGTCGGGCACATGAGCGTCAGTAGCAGGGAGGCTATTTTCGAGGGAAGGGGGGACGGCGCCGGGTTTGCCTGGCAGGGAAAGCCGAGCCAAGGGCAGTGTGACTTTGAACGGGCTCAGAGGCGAGGGGTGGTCACCCAGCAGACTCCCAGCCCCGAGCTTTAGGATCAGACGTCCCGGGTCTGCATGCTGACGTCTCTGCCCTCAGGTAGCCGGGTGCTTTCTGTGCCTGGGATCCCTCCTCTGTACGAAGTTAAAAAATAACAATGACTAGGGCAAAGGTTGAATAGGATTGAGTGAGGCGACTCATTGAAGGGCTTAAAATAAACAGTGCCCACAGTCCCACTTCCCCACTTACCACCTTCATTCATTGTGAATTATCTAAACTTGGGAGCCAGACTGCCCATCTCATACCCTCATTCTGCCAGTTTCCAGCTGTGTGACTTTCAGTGAGTTGACTAACCTCTCTGAGCCTCACTTTGCTCATCAGTAATACAGATTTAACAGCAGTACCTTCTCATAGCATTGCTGTGAGGATTGAATCAACCCACACGGACATTTAGACCAATGATTCTTCACGGGGTGGGGGGGGGAAGGTTGCCTTCTAGGGGGCTTTTGGTGATGTCTACAGACATTCTGGTTGTCACAGTGGTGAGTGTGCTAGCTGCATACGGGTAGCGGCCAAGAATGCTGCTAGACATTGTCCACCGCACAGGATGCCCCATCAGCCATGATCTATCCCCTCCGAAATGTCCAGAGTGCCAAGAAACCCTGAGGGACCACTCCTCGGTGACGTTAGCTGTTTGTGTGGGAGCTAAGCCATGAACACGGGCGCTGATGGGGAGCTGGCCCTTGGGAGGGGAGGAGGCATCCGGGCAGGCCCTGCCTTCTGGCGGCTCTCAGACCATCTGGGGGCTCCGGGAAGACGGTGGGGAGGCAGCACTGGGTAGAGGTGGGAGCAGCAGCCAGGCCAGAGAAGTCGGTGCCGTGGTGAAGTGGGTGGATGTCCTTGGGAAGGTGAGGGTCACCCTGCCAGCCACCAGGGACGGCGCAGGGATCTTCTGGGAGGCCGAGGCCCGCCCGAGGCCCGTGATACCTGCTTGGGATAATCAGGCTGTTTTCTGGGCAGCGCAGTCCACCGGGAGCTGCTCCCACCACCCGTTGCAAACCCTCGTACCCTCTGCTGCCAGAGGCCTCCGTTCTGCGCCCCTTGGACCCCACCAGGGTCAAGTTGAGTCCCCAGCTCCTGTCTCCGGGCCACGACTTTGCACACGTCCCTCTGACCCCTGGCTCACCTGCTCCCAGCTCCCAGATTCCACAAGGCCCTCAGAGTGAGCTCAGGAGCCCGCGGTGACGGTGACTCGGGTGCCCAGTGCTCGCTCTGCCGGGCTCCGTGCTGGGCACATCACGCGGATCCGTCCCTGCTAAGGCTCAAAGGCTCCCTGGAGAGAAGCGCTGTCTCCACTTGAGGAAGCCGAGGCCCAGAGAGCCTAGCATCATGCCCAGGGTCACACAGCTTGTATGTGACGGACAGACCCAGTCTGCCCGCCTGCAGGGCCACCTCGATGGCTCTGTGACCATGAGTGTCACATCCCAGGGGGCTCCTGCCCAAGAAGGAGGACGCACGCGCTCCCCGCTGGGTTCTCACAGGCTCAGCTGATGTGCCTGAGGGGCGGGGAGACCTGGAGGGGTCGGAGGGGCCGCTGGGTTCTTTCCAGCAAGGTCACAGCTGCAGTGTCGCAGAAGGGCTGAGGGCTGACGAGAGCCTTGAGCTGGGAGTCTGGGGATCGTTTCTGGGGCCGCCTCGGGCACAGCCGACCCCTGTCGAGGGTCAGGGAGAAGCAGGCTTCAGCCGCGGCTCGGGCGCCTCCAACAACAAGACGGAAAACACGGACCGACACGTTCCCCTTCCCACTCAGAGTTGCCTAGCAACCACAAGTGACAAGCTGCCAGCTCGGTGATACGATCGCAGCAGGGAGATCAGAGTGAGCCAATTAAAACTTTTTTTATTTTTTTTGCATTTTCCTGTTTTTGTTCCCATAATTTCATTTAGTCCTGACTGCCCTCCAGCACGGATGCAGGAGCCTGCCAGGCACATTGGAACCGCGCCACCCGGCCCCTCTCCCCCTAGATGCTCAGACAACACGCCCACCCGAGTGGAAGGGAATCGTGTTAAAACGTGGTCTGTGGACTTGTCACGTCAGCTCTGCTGGGAAACTTAGAATTTTCCCTCGAGTTTGGGCCCCTCTGAGTTTTCTCTGTGCGGTGCAGAGCCCAGGACGGTGCCTGGCACACAGTAGGTGTTCAGTTAACCACTGACTGAATGAACAACTGAATGAATGAAGAAGACACACCCTGGGGAGATCCTGAAGCTGGCGGCCACAGCAGCGAGTCGGATGTCACCGAATGGCCAGGGGACACACAGAGCTCGGGCTGTCATTCAGCAGACCAACTTTTTTTTCTTTTTTGTGATTTCCACCTTCACAATGGAGTCTGGGCGGGGAGCTGGGCAGACGCCTACTTCCTGAGCCTCATCGATGGCTCCTCCACGTTCCACTTCCCAGCACGCTGGGGCCTGACGTTATAGCCTCTCTTTGCTGGGACTCCTCCACCTGTTCCTTGTCACACCACCGAGGTGGCAGGACAGTGTGTGCCATCCTGAGGATGCCCAGGGTGTGTGCTGAGACCTCACGGGCCATTCACTCATCTCCAACGTGCGGCCTCTGCAGGGAACGTGGGGCCCTGGGCTCCGCTCACAGATAAGCTCGTTTTTGCTAACAAATGAGTGGCACATACAGAAGAGCCCGGGCATGGGCACAAACTCCCTGTGTGACCTCTGGGCCGTTCTGTACCTCAGGGGGCTTCAGCGCCCACCTGGGGCAGTAGGAGGGTGTGTGCCCTCCAGGGCTGAGACACTGAGGGTCCAGGATGGCGCTGCACCTCGTGTCACCACGTGACTGCTCCCTCCCTGCGGAGCTGCTGGAGACGGTCACTCTTGATTGTCCCCCGGAAGTTCCCACAGCACAGATTGCTGTCTGTGACTGTGTCGCCTGTGCGCCTGTGCTTTACGTGCATGAGATCCTCTTGCACCCCACCCAGGAACCAACCTTCACCCCCTCCAGGCAAGATGGCCTCCTGGAGAATGTGCATCCAAGAGCGAAGGCCCCTGAACTTCCCTCCAACTTCCAGAAGCCGGGTGTGCTTTAAAAGACAGTCCCCGCTGGGGCCAGCGAGCACAGCAGCCAGCCTCCCTCTGTCTCTCGGTGCCCTGCGCCCAGGTGCCTTCCTCTGACCCTCCTGGCCAGCATCGCCTTCTCTGCCCTCAGCTGAGCGCCAGGCCTGGAGCCCGTGTGGTGTGCATCCAGAGACTGAGGACAGCGAGGAGGTTCGCCTTGTGTCCCCTCCCCTGGGTCGTGGGTCCCCGGTATTGAACCCTGCTCTGGGTGTGAATGTTTCGGGATGAGATGGAGTAAATCAGATGCCTTCCCCAAGGTGGGTGAGCCCCCGCACCCCTGCCCCTGCACCCCCACCCTCCGCCGAGCCCCGCCCAAGAGCTGAGGTCAGAAGAGGAGGGAACCCGGAGCAGGAGCAGCTCTCCGCCTGCCGGTTTTGAGCAGGGACCCTGCCCTGTGCTCTGGGCTGTAGCGCACCACACACCGGCACCCAACTGCAGACCGCAGACCGCAGAACTGGCAACCTCCATGACCAAACAAGCCTTCTCTCTGACTAACATGGGGCTGGGGGGACTCAGGGTGGGGCCGCGGGCAGGAGGGCCATCCGCAGTGCCTTTGCACGTCCCTGCAGCAGCAGATCCTGTTTTCCCCTTCTGGCTCCCCACTGGTGCCTTTCAGTAGTTCTGTGCATGCGTCCCCCAGCTTCTTTGTGCCCTGCTGCTAGTGGCTGCCACTGTTGGCTCTTAGACCACTGGAGCCACCTCATCTCTACTCTCGCTGGAAACTTCTGCTGGCAGCGCTGGGCACAGCCCAATGGCACCCTCCCCTGCCGCCTTCCCCTCCTGGGATGGGTGGAAAGACCCCCTGAGTCTTCCACCTCCGGGGGCCAATTGTGTCTTCGTATTCTTTGGTTCCTGTGAATTTCTGACCCTCCCTGGACAGCTCCTTCCTACTCCTCCAACTAACTCACTTCGTTATTCTGGCAGATAGTCACTGACATCCAACCGAGCCCCTGTCGGTCTCGTCTTGACTTCTGCGAGCCCCACACTGGTCACTGTGGGACCTCTCTCCCGGGACCTGGGCCCACGCCTGGTTCTTTATGTTTCTTGGATGACTTTGGTCTTCAGAAATTTCTAGGCACAAAAGTCCCGTGTGAAACCACCTTGACAGGAGGATTCCGTCCCCTACCTTCCACCCCTGGGAAAGGGACCCCATCTCACTTTCTCACCATCCCAGGGAAGGTACAGATACATAACACCAGGCACATAATCAATGCCAGAGGGACTTTTCTGTGGCTGTCACTGAAGGGGAGCCAAGCCACAAGCTGTGCAAATATCCATCAGGATGCTCCATTTACACTTGTTTCGTTCCACCCAACAAATACCATCTCCACCTAAAAACTGTTTTGTGAACACAGTGATTTTCCTGCTGTTTTTCTTATGGTCATCAAAGGCGTGAATGGAAACCCGGTCATTTCTAACCACCCCACACTTCTTTGGCTACAGTTTCCCACTACAAAGAACATCTTAAAAGTTTCCCTTTTTCTTGAGGTGAACTTACCTGTCACCTCTCCTCAGCGTCCTGAAGTGGCTCCACGGGGCTCACAATGGACACGCCCCCTCGACCCTTGGAGCTCCCCCAGTGCAAGGTGACTCAGGAATGTGCCACCCAACTGGTCCTCCTAGCTTTCCAGAGAAGGGTAGAGCCTTCAGATGACGGATGACAAATATCTATTGAGACCATGAGGACGGTGAGGTCTCCTTATTATTATTATTATTATTATTCATCTCCCAAGTCTTGGGGGGTAATCTTTCCTTCAAGGAGACCAACCTCTCCTTCCTCCCCTTGCTCTACCTGAGACAACATGGATGATTTGTGAAGATGGTTCCAGACCCCACACCTCCTGTGAGTTTGTGACATCCGCCACCTGAGGAAGGAGGGTTCTGGCTGAGGCCACATTTCTGGTCCCCAGCGGTCACTTTTTTAATACTGAAAAATGGGGCGTGCCTACAAACAAGGTGTTCTCCCCCAGAAAATACGGTGATCTCCAGTTCATCAAGCGTGGATTCCTCCCTCTCCACAGTTGTTGGCCCAGGTCACGTTTGTCCAGCTGTGGAATATACGTAACATTGTCGCCTGTCTGATGGGAATGAGTTATTGTTAGTTACATGTATATTTAAAGATACAAGTAGAATCCTAATTTAGGAATGAGGTTTTTTTCCCCCACATTTTGAGACATCATTTCATTTAGACCTTTCACGTGCGTTTTTGTGTGATTTGCCTGACCTGCTTTTGGATCGTTCTCTAGTTTCGGGAGCACAGCCGTCCCCTCCATCTAAGGTGGTTGAGACCCATCAGTTTTGCGGTCAAGCAGCAGGTTACAACCCGACATCCTGTTCCCAGCCACCACTGGGACTCTGCACAGTTTTTTGTGTAACCCTTCTTTATTGTGTGTTATTTAGCTTTTTGTTGCCGTGACCAAAATACTTGACAAGAACAACTTAGAGGAGGAGGAGCTTGTTTTGGCTCATGGCTCCAGAGGTTCAGTCCCTGTGACCGACTCCAACGCTCTGGGCCGGAGTTGAGGCAGAGCATCCTGGCGGGAGGGTGTGGTGGAGAAAAGCAGCTCAGGACGTGGCCACCGGACAGCAGAGACGGTGCCACTCACCAGGGACAAAATATAATCCAAAAGGTATGCCCTCGGTGAACTACTTCCTTCAGATACATCCCACCTGCTTACAGTTACCACCCAATTTATCCACAAGTGGATTAATCCACTGATTAGGTCACACCTCCTGGAATCTATTCATTTCACCTCTGAACAGTCTTGCGTTGCTCACACATGGGCTTTGGGGGGACACACAACTAAACCATAGCAACAGCAGAGTGCAGAGACACGGATGGCACGGTGACGAAGCCAACCCTCTTGTCGGATCCACCCACCAACCAACCCCACAGACAGGATGCTCCAGGTCTTCCCGGGAACTGAACTCTCCTCTCCTCACCGCAGCTGACCCCATCCCAACTTGTGTGACGAGGAGGGGCCTCCGCAGCTGTGTCTCTTCACATCTGTTCCAGCCTCTGGTGGTGGACTGTGCCCCGCCAGCCCGTGGCTTCATTACCAAGCTGCTTTATAGGTGGCAGGTCGGCCGTCCTCCCAGGAATGATTACCGAATGTGTGTCAGGTTCCCCGCTTCCTTGTTTGCTGATTCTGTCGGGGGACCTCCACAGACACCCGCAGCTAGCACTGACAGGTCGTTTCAGGATACTGTGTTTTCTCCCAGAAGCACCTCGTTCTGCCAAGGGAAGTAACTATCAAATGTGTCCCAGAATTCAAGGGATTATATGTACAAGGTGACTCACATTTTTCAAGGTACAGGTGTGAATTTATATCTTCCATTGTGTGCAGGCCTATGTGATTTTTTTTTTTAAATTTGAGTTTTCTTTTGTAGTAAAATATTTCAAATATGAGAAGTGAAAAGAACAGGGCACATCCCTATGTGCTCAGCCATGCTCCAGTGTCACTCACGATGTTCTATGATCAATTTGTGGAACCCACCATTAAAAAGTAGTGCTCAGCCTCCTGACATTTTTGCATTAGCTTAAATCGCTTCACATCATTATTCTGAAATTTCCTTTTTCATTATTCAATATGCTTTTTGATGTGTATCCGTATGATCCCATGTAGGTTTAATTTCTTCATTCTAAATGTTTATAGAGTAGCCAGACCTGGTGGCGCATTCCTATAATTCTAGGGGCTTGGGAGGCTGAGGCAGGAGGATTGAAAGTTCAAAGCCAGCCTCAGCAGCTAAGTGAGCCCCTAAGCAACTCCATGAGATCTTGTCTCAAGATGAAAAATAAAAAATAAAAATGCTGGGAATGTGGCTCCGTGCTTGAGTGCCCTGGGTTCAATCCCTAGTACAAAAGTCAATAAGTGCCACAGAATAATCCATTGTAGAAATACACTGTAGTCTACTTCCCCATGTCCCTGTTGGTGGACATGGAGGTGGATTTTGTTTCGACATGATGTTGATGAAAATTTGCAAACAGATGTAAAAGGTGTGCGTTAGATGACTGTGAGCCCTCCACCTGAAGGCCATGGTGACATTGTCTGTGTTTATCATTGCCTCCTTCATTCCTTCTATTTCCTGAGACCTCCTGCAGTTGCTGTGTTTCGCTCTTGAATATGAAGTTAGGGAGGGAGAACGGGCAGTGGTTTTCCAGAGGTCGGGGGTTGGAGTTGGAGTGCTGAGACTGCGAGGTGTCTTGAGGGGAATCTTTGTGGTCCTCTGTCTTGATTTTAAATGGCAGTCGTGGTTTCACAGATCTATACTGTGGCACCGTGACACAGACACACACCCAGTACCAGTGTTGGTCTCCCGGTTTGATGTGGCATTGTGGTTGCAGAAGGTGTAACCATTGAGAGAAGCTGGTGACGGGTACACAGACCTCTTGGTACCGTCATTGCAACTTCTGGTGGGACAAATTATGACATAGTAAAAAGCCAAAATAAAAAAAAAAAAAACAGGAATAAAGACTTCATTGATGCTCATGGGTGTTGTTAAAGTAGAAAGGCTTTGTCAGAAAGTGAGCAAGGAGAAGCCAAAATCCAACTGCGGCAACGGAAATGGAAGGAATTTGGGTTGTGAGGCCATTTTTGGCCCCAGATTTCAACAGTCTTCTTCCTAGGGAAGGTACTAATCTTCTCTGATTTCAAGAGTCCTCTCATTGATATACGCATTGAATAAAACAGTTCTTCCAGCTTCTTAGAACAATTCTTTAAACCAGAGAGGCAGATGTCATGGGTTACAACATCTTACATGTCTTTTGGGGTAGGTCTAAGCTTGTCCAGAGAGGTGTCCAGGAATCCATTGGCTAGCTCAGTGAGGGTGAACTTCGTCAACTTTAGCACATACTTCATTAAAACTAAGAAAGCATCTAATGTGAGTTGCACCCAAAGGCTTTCACTTAACATCTCAAGAAACCAACATTCATCAGCCGGATCTGGATTCAGAATAGTAAAAGGTAGCGGTGGGGAGAACAGAATGGGGCGAAGGGGAACCATTAAAATCAGTGCAGCACAGCAGATTCCTCCATATTCCCCACCCAGGGTATGAAAATTCAAATTTTCCACGTCCTCACAAAACCTTGATAATGTAACTCTGAGATGATAAAAAATATTGGGCAGTTCCTGAACACCTCTCCCAAGTGTTCATGGCTGATGCATTTTCTTTCTAGTGTGCTTTGCTGTTCATAACCTGCGCCTGATTTTCCACTCACTTTTGTCTTATTGACTTTAGGAGTTCTTTATATG